CGTAAAGAGGAGGAGGAGGAGGAGGAGGAGGAAATGGAGAAGAAGAAAAAGAAGAGGGGAACAGTAAGAAAAGCGACAGAAGGAGGAGACTCAGAAGAAAAAGAGTATTAAAAAGTATTGGGAGTATTAAAATATTAAAAATGCGGGAAAGAACTGCACGAAATTTTAGCGCTCCTGCAGTTGACGCGCCACGGCCACGCGTCGCGTACTTTAGTGCCTCTCGCGGCGGGCTCGGTCTGGCAACTTTTAACACCCAAACCGGACCAAAAAGCAGGACTTCCTGTCCAGAAACGTCTCATTTTGATTCGTGAACATCAGCCTGCTTTGCAAACTGTCCATGAGGAGGGAGCTTTCGCTGCGTTGCTCGACGCACACTAATCGTGTCCGACATTCCATTACACCGACAGCTATGCGCAAACTGCGAGACCACCTGAGCTATGGATATTTTCCCAGCACCACTCGCCCCTCCCGCCCTCCTGTCTCGAGCCCGACCGCAGTATTTGCGGTCTGCGGTCAGGCCGCTAACCTTCGCGGGAGGGAGGGCGGTGAAGTCAGGTTACTTTCGCAGCCCGTAAATCAGTTCCTCCGAGGAAAGTCCCTCCCCCCCCCTCGGGGAGAAAGAGGGAGAGAGGCTGTGTGGAAGGGGGAGGAGCGTGCCGGTGTCCCCTGCTCCTGCGTGATGCACTTTATCGTGAGGTCATTAGCGAGTTTATTGTTTTTCTGAACCACCCCCTCCCCGAGGACCCCTGAGTGACACTGTTACGTTGCCCGGTTTGTAAATATAAGCTACACTCGAAAAGGATCGTAGTCAATGGGGAGGAGTTCCTATTGGACCAATAGGATCGCCTGTAAAATATATAGCGACAGGAATTTCTCATTGAAACATCGTGCACTCTGATTGTTTCAATCGGTGTTCCATGCCATTTCAGAGAGACGCCTCGTCACTTTGAAGAGATATGCGGTTGACGGAGCACACATTCTTTTAGCGGCATATTTGGACTGCATTTTGCAATTAGGAACTATAATCTCTGACTAAAAATCAGTTTAGAAACAACGTATTTACAATTAGTTTGCCTGTGTACGTAAGTGTTTTTGCAAATGAGCCAGAAATTGTAGTTTCAAAATGCGGTTCAATTGGAAAATTTCTCATTGTCCACGAAGACAAAAAACTCAGTCCCAGGCGACGGAGTTTGTTCTCTTAAAAAGATAAAAAGGAAGAAAAATTGAGCTCCTCTTCGTGCCCCCCCCCCCCGCCGCATTAGCATCCTCGCGTCCGTTTGTTATTTTTGTGTACGGGGGGATTCTTACCTCTTCGTCTCGCAGACACAGTCTACATAGACAGTTTTTTCGCGGTCTACGTCAGGGGCAAGTAAAATAAATTTAAAGCGAGAACTTAAAATCTCTATCAACATCTCCATTCCAAAATCTTAAACTTGACGAAAAAAACTGAACAATCCGTGTGAAACAAAAGTCTATGTTTCTTGATGTCAAGATTCGTGACTTGCTTTTTTGGAATGATGGCGCCGTGATTGATGGCATTGATGAAAAAAAATGAGGGTGAAATTACTGCTCTGTAACCGCCCCTAATATAGCCTGCGATTCAATCCCTATCAGTAAGCCAAGATGTTTTTCTCCATTGCGTTGCTCCAAGAACCATACCCAGGCCAGGATATTAGGGGGGAGGTATCCACAAATTGGGCCGTGGGGTAGGTTTTACTTTCCAATAAATATGTAAATTGTGTACAAATGCTAATTAAATTGGTGTGAACAGGTTCAAATGAAGGAATGCTTTCGTTGCCAACCTGCTAGATCCCTCTCTGCTATTCACAGGCTCCCGAGTTAAATTTCAGCGAGGGGAGCACATAAATAATGCGGGCAACAGCGACATGAAACTTCGATACATTCGCATTTCAGCTTTACGCGGTCCTCAACACCAAATAATTTATCATGGACATGTGTACACTGTACACACTTACGTAGAGAACCCGGACTGGCGCCGGGCCAGTTCTGCATCAATTATAATTATCGAGTGTCGCCGACTGAAACGGCGCGAAGTTACAGAGTGTATAGTTTCCTATAAAACCTTCCGCCTACTATTTTTAAGAATTCGATTTCGAACTCGCCCAATCTCTCTCGGCGCTCGTGGCTGCACAGTTGAAAGCATCCACCGGAATTTTCTCACAGAATCCCTTTTAATACGTTTTAAAGAGGGATCATGATCGTTTGATCGTGAGTATCTTTTATTCCCAAGTGCATGGTTAGGAAAAAGAAGTTTCGTGTACTTACAGATTGGCTCGATCAGAGATGAAAAATTATCAAAAAAACGAAGACTCCGCTTACCTGAAACAGAAAATATGCGAACGTCTATTAGTGAGGTTTAAAAGAAGATGTAACACTGCCGAGCCAAGAAAGAACGCCATATGAACATTCGAGAGTGACCAAATTTCCTCCAATAAAATGTTTATTTTTGAGGAAAGATATGGATATTTTTCCTTGAAATTTTCAGGGACCGAAGGCGAAATTGCGAACATGGGTAATTATTTGAAAAATTAGAAGGGAAATATTCATCAGTTTACCAGGAAATTCGAGTTTTATCAAAGGAAATTTGGCAACGCCAGAAGGTTCATACGGCGTTTTTCCTCAGCACGGCAGAACACCAGACAGCATGAGACGCAAGGCGCCTAAAGAGAGGGGAAGGGAAGACCTAGCAGTGCCTGACGCGGTCAAAAATTACTTTAGAGATGCTTGAAATGGGTGGAGGGTGAAGACAGAAGAGGAGATCAAAAAAAAGGAGAAAAATTTGGCCCTAAGTCTACATGACTGACTATGCATCATGCACTTTAAATTTTGAATGCGTGCGTATTCGGTTGTAGGTACGTACGGCATATACGCTGTACATATTACGTACGACGCTTTTCCGTTCCCCTCCATTTGCTCCCTTGAAACACTATGTAACGTAAACATGAGCCCCCTCCCCCCCTGAATTACATAACGCTGGGCAAAGCACCTCTCTTAAATTTTCATTCCTTTTTTCTGACAAAAATTTCCCACAAATCATTGTAATTTTAAGAAGTATGAAACGCTTTATTAAAGCTTTACAAAACGCTCGGCCTTCGATTGAATTTTCGATCCGGTGTTCTCGAAAGTGTTTAGAAAACTATAAATCGATATTTTTGACCCAAAATTGATTTTCCGCAGAACTGACAAATTTGAGTTGTACACACTGCGGCGTATTCTGTGAGACTAAATTATAAATAAACAATACACCAAATTATGATATCTCTCCCTAATTTCTGGAGGGAACCAATATTTAGCTCTTTTAATGCAAGCAGAAAAAGGTGGCACCGTGAGGAGTGACACCAATAGACCACCAGACTAAAAATAAGTGAAAATTGACGCACTTGGATACGTATTTTTTCTCATCAAATTATTCCCAACAACAACAACAATTTGGCAAATAGTTTTCAGGCAAAATTTGTCGCACGGAACGTCAAAGCCATCATAAAAAGCAAATAAAAGGTGATGACTCGATAACTTTTCCCTGTCATTTTCATCACTTTCCCTGATATTTCCCGGTTTTCACTGACTTTTACAAATTCCCTGACATTTCCCGGTTTTCCCTGACTTTTAAAAATTCCTGACATTCCCTGGTGTTCCCGGCATTCCCTGACTGTGGCAACCCTGCAGTATCTCGATTGAGGATAATACAGACTACACTGAAAAAAAAAAAATCTCGGTGTATTAAGAAAAGGGTAAAATTACCAAGAATTCAGGGATCTATTTGATCCCAGTTTTTTCTTGGTAAAATACCATTTATGGAATTGGTAATTTTATCGAGAATCTCGGTAAAATTATTGAACTTTCTCGGTCATTTTACTGGACCTTGATAAAAAAGCCGATATTTTTTATCGACTGTGGTAGAATTACCGAGATAAAATGGCAAAGTTACCGGGAATTGATTACCGATAAAAGTGGTATTCTTACCTGGAAAAAACAGTAAAAATACCGGTTTTTAGATAAGCTTACCGGTCTGTCTTGGTAAAATTACCAATAATTGGTAAAAAAAAGTGAGACAGTAAAGGTACTAACGGACCTTGGTAAAAATGAGAATTTTTTTTAGTGTAGTGGCTAGTTTTGAGCGCTTACCGTTGCTGATTTCGACCTGGCTGTAGGCAGTGAGCTCGTCACCCGGCGATGAATTGTAATATCCGTGCGTAAAAAACTGAGGGAGGAAAACGTTCGATTCGGAACTGAATCGGGGTAGTTGGACCTCGAGGGAGCCGCAGTTCCACAGCACGCCGACGACGAGGCAGCCCAGCACGAACACGAAGCCCGAGATCACGGCAGCCAAGCCCAGGAGCCTCTGAAGCCTCCGGCCGGAGCCCATGTTCCCTCGTCAGCTCACCTGCATAATTCGCTCACCCGCACCGGAAACGCGCGGCAGCTCACCCGGAAAACTCCGGAAAATCCCCCGAATCCAAAATAGTTCACCAATATCCAACCGCACTCACAAAAAATGGAACTTCAATTTTTTTAAAATACTTCCTTCGAGTGGAAGTTGAGTCAACGATAAGTGCGATGGTAATCTAACTCCGCGCTCACATTTGCAACTGACAGTTGACCGCTGGATCTAGGAACCGAGATATATCGGGAGGTTTGGCGCTAATTATCCAGGTCTGCCGTGCCGGGAATACACATTCAGAAACGAAATCTTAACACACGAGCCGAAATTTGACGAGTGATTAAAAAAGAAAAAAAATTCACACTAAAATTTTGGAGTCACCGGGGGAAAAACTAAGGTGGTGAAATTTTATAGATTTATGGAGATCAAAACATGTGCATCTGCTTCGGAAATTTGAAATTTGATCAAGTGATTCTGCGTTAAACCGAACGCTCGTTCAAGAAAATGCCACTCAAAAAACAGCTCCAACCCAAAAATAATTGCGGAAATTACATTGGGAGTTAAAATTTAAGAAAATAAGAACATGCGGCAAATATTTGCGGACGTATTCGATCTAATTTTGAAATGAACACAATTAGGGCAGCTATACCGGAAACTTCCGAAAAAAACCGCTATTTCACCATAGCTTTTGTAAGGTTCACTCAATAGAGCACGAAATCATGAGCGATGGACAATTTTTGACGGATCCGGACTCCTGAGAACAGTTTAATCGGACACTTTTCACTGTGGGTGGTGTAAAATTTTATATTCTGCCGGCAGTGAATTGAAATTACACTCCTAAAATTCGAAAAAATAGAATTGTGTACTCGATTGGCACGATAAAATGAATAAAAATGTGGATGGTTGGCGGATGAGACTTGTGTTGAGCCACGTGCGGGATTTGGAAATTCGGTTTGGGCGACGAGTTTATAGACGCGACGCCGGCTGGGAGCGGCGGAGAGAGAGACACGCGGGTCGGCGAACAAGACGAGACGGACTGAGGACTGAGCGGTGAACCTGAACTGCACTTGGAGCCCGGAGAAAGACCCGTGCGGGGCGGAGCGGCTTATTACAAGAGCGGCAGCCGTCGGCGGCTCGGGCTTCGGACGCCCTTATGGAAGCCACCCAATGGAGCGCCGTATAAGGGACAGAATACTGCCGTGATAGCGAAGAGAGCAGTAAGCGTCAAATTTTCGAAATCGAGGTTCCTTCAAAATCCGTCTGATCTCTTTCAGATGAAATCACTGAAATGGCTATTACAGCATAATTCATCTTAATTATATGAAAACGAGTCACGTGAGGAAGCCGTTAGTGCGCAAAAAATGAAGTTTCAGGCAAAACAGCCGTTAGTGACATTACTCCAACACGGAGAAAAACACCTCATGCGTGGAACCCGAAGTTTAGGTCATATGGATCTGCGTGGAACCCGAAGTTTACACGGAGAAAAAAAACTCGTGCGTGGGACCCGAAGTTTAGGTCATATGGATCTCTGAAGTTTTCAGATTGAGCATCTGAACACTTTAGGTCTAGCTGCTGAAGTTCGGATCATACATCTGAAACTTCAGTTCTTACATCTAAAGTACTTCGGTTCTCACATCCGAAGTACTTCGGTTCTCACATCTTGAAGTACTTCAGATGTAAGAACTAAAGTTTCAGATGTATGATCCGAACTTCGGCAGCTAGACCTAAAGTGATCAGATGCTCAGTCTGAAAACTTCAGAGATCCATATGACCTAAACTTCGGGTCCCACGCACGAGTTTTTTTTCTTCGTGTAGGTCATATGGATCTCTGAAGTTTTCGGATTGAGCATCTGAACACTTTAGGTCTAACTGTCGAGGTTTGAATCACACATCTGAAACTCCGGTTCTTACATCTGAAGAACTTCAGATGTGAGAACCGAAGTTTTTCGGATGTGAGAACCGAAGTTGTTCGGATGTGAAAACCGAGGTACTTCAGATGTAAGAACTGAAGTTTCAGATGTGTGATCCAAACCTCAGCAGCTGGACCTAAAGTGATCAGATGCTCAATCCGGAAACTTCAGAGAACCATATGACCTAAACTTCGGGTCCCACGCACGAAGTTTTTTTCTCCGTGAAAGACAGCCTATGGAAGCAGTACTTTCAAGTTAAGAAAGTGCCGCCCTCTTTTGCCAATTTCTAACCTGGAAAGGAGTTTATTTTGTGTGTACAAAACCACAGAAGCATGCGGAAAATACCATTTACGGCTGTCTTGCCTAACACTATAGCCAAACATGAAAATGAAATGAAATATACCCTTTTTATGTAATAGTTGAAATAAATCGGTCGATTTTCAATCATCCAAGCGATTTCTAAGAGTTTTTCGGATAGTGGCAATTGACAAAAAAGGGAAGCTTCTTTTAATAAAATTTTCCGTTCAGACGCTACTGCGCCCGTTTTCTGAAGACTTCATTTTTGCACTAGCTGCTCTCTTCGCTATTGCGGCAGAATAGCGGGGTACCTCCAGAGTCTACCCATCGAAAAAATCCACAATCCATCCTTCACATCACAAGAAGATTCTTTCACCCCATAATATCGTCTCAACAGATGAGACTAGAAACCTCGGTCCGTATTCATAATTTGTTCTTTTGGCAGCTCCTTGCCCCGTAGGGCCGAATTTAGAATTTTTGAACCCAAGCGCAGTCTGTGATGCAGGCCCTCCAAAGTGCACATCCTCGAAGAAGGGGGTATAAAGAACAAATTACCCGATGGGCGTAAATAGAAGGAGTCTTCATGAGTACGGCCCCAAGCAATATGATACGCAAGAAAATTATCGATGAAATTTGACGGAAATTGCGATAGTGGCATAAACGGGGTGGCTACTCCAGGAATGCTCAACCCTGATAGGTTGGGAAAAGTTGGAAAATTTGGTGCAGTTTGTTCCCCCAGCCAAAGCATTCCATTTTTTCCTTTTAAGATACTTCCCATTCGGTCAATTTGTGAGTTTTTGGTTAGAATTTGTATCAGAAACCATTCCATAAAGCACTGAAACAGCAAGGGAACGATGGGTCGTGATTCCGCTCGTTTTTGTTGACAATAGGCCCTCATTTTTCGCAATCTGGCAACGTTGTCACATGCGGAAGAAAGAGGATATAAAAAGTGTTCATTTCCAATTAAATTAAATGAGGAGGTTCAGATCAGGGTAAAAGTGTTACTGCCAATAAGATCCGGCGAGTAATTCCTGTATAAATAGACAAAATATAAATTCCTTTACTTACTTCTTGTTTTCAAATTGATGAAGTACTCAAACCGCCGTATCTTCGTGCAACGACGACGCACGAACGCAATGAGTAATATTTTATTATTACAGGCAGCACAAAATTGAAGGCGCTCCGGCCTTTTCAATAGCTAGGTCTGGATGCAACTATTCGTGTTCTTGGGATGTCCGGGTTGCATAACGAAAAATTGCAGGGGCTCTGATTGTCTTAGGAATAGCACATGACTCCGGTTGTCAATTCTCAAGGTTTTTCTAAGTTGCGTTCAAAATCGTGTTTCACCATCGAATCCTCGAAATTCGGACGAGTCGTGTAGCACTTCGGTAGCGATGCTCAATAATGCGTCTGGAGAATTTTCAAGCAAATTTTGTATTGATTCATCTGAAAGTGCTTAAAGAGCTGATTTCACAGTATTTTGTATAATTTGTTCCTAATATGGGAAATAGTATAAAAACAGAAAAAAGTGAAAATAAGTGAAACAGAAAATAAGTGAGAAAATGCACCGCCTAGTGACGTCATCTGGCGGCATTTCCCATTTAAACACACACATTTTAGCAGGTTAGATCATTTTTTCATATCTTCTCCAATAATTGTTCAATTCATGAACCAAGATCGAGTGTCCTCGTGTTCAGTTCACTCAGCAGTTTCCATTTTTACACGAAATTCATCAAATTTCTGACACCTGCCAATTCTCTATTGACGGTAGTAATTTGCGGGATTGACATCTGTGATGCCTTTATGGAAACTTTTTTTGTGAAAAATTGCACCATTTGGCATCTTTGACGCGGTGCGACACGACTCATCCGAATTTCGAGGATTTTGCGGTAAAACACGATTGTGAGCGCAACTTGGAAACTTCCTGAGAATTAACAACCGCAGTCATGCGTTGTTCCTAGGAAAATCAGAGCTCCTGCAATATTTCGCTATGCAACACGGACATTGAATAGTCTGTTGCATCCAGACCTAGCTATTGAGAAGACTGGAGCGCGCCCTCAATTTTTTGCAGCTTGTGATAATAAACTGTGTTATTCATTGCATTCATGCGTAATCGCGTTGCACGCACGGCGGTTTGAGTATTAGATAAATTTGAAAAAATGAAATAGGTATTTTAATGTACAACACATGTTTAAATAAATGGAGTCTATTCATACGGCAATGGACCACTAGACAAGGTACGAATTTCAACATTCTGTTACATGTTTCGGAACTAAAATTTTACGTAGAACACGATGCGCAGAGCAAACATTATCGCAATTAACTCCTTGCGAAGATATTGAATGATTCTTGATGCTTGAATTCAAACCACCCGCTCATGAAAATAACTCAATGCTCTACGTGATTCACATCGTGCGCTAAACGTTATCATGACAGTCTCTGCGATATAAAAATCTGACAACCTCAATCTTGACGCTTTGGCTCAGCTATAGCAAATTGCTTATAGTTTGAACAACACATGGTGGGGAATGAACATTGCGCGATTGAGAAGCTTACTGAAACCGTTGTAGTGCGCGATTTGACTCACGTAGAGCTTTGAGTTTCTTGTGAGCAGGCAGTTCAAATTCCTCGTAACCAATGTGAAATAAAAACGTTAATATCTTCGTTAGGAGTTGGTTTCAGTAATTTTCGTTGTAAGAATCGTGTTCTACGTAAAATTTTGGTTAAGAAACATGTATCAGATCGCTTAAATTCGTACCTTGTCTAGTGGTCCATTAGTCTGATTTTATCGGCAATTACACGCTTTACCCTCGTCTGAACCTCATCATTCAATTTACTTGGACACGTGAAAAAATCGTATCTTATTAACTATTTACTTCTATCTGTACTCACCAGCGTTGCTGGCTCGTGAATTTTGAGGGACCGTTTTCAGCAAAAGCGAGCAGAATCATGACCTATCGTAATCAGCGCTGTTCGCAGGGTGACAAGTTTGCTAGGTATTAAAAATTCCCTGACTTGTTAGATCTTTTGAAAATGAAAATCCCCGACTTTTCCTTGGGTTCTCAGTGCTTTTGAGCATGGTTTCTGATAAACACTCCAACCACAAATTCACCGAACGCGAATTATCTTGAAAGGAAAAAACGCAATGATTTGGCGCGGGGTCAAAATTTCTGTGAAAATATTCTCCAACTTTTCCCGACTCATCAGGGTTGGGCATTATATCTTGAAGCAACTTCATCAGACGCCTAAAAAGTAAAATTCTCGTCCTTTCAAACGCAAAGGAAACGGATCGGTTTCGCTTGAGGGTATGCATGGGCGGATTGTGCTTTTGATCGGCAAAATTTCGTTGTCGGACACATCAAGAAAAATTGTTTAGGCATGCAACCCATGCTCTCTGTACAGTGTTCTTTAAGTCGCTGAATCCAAAAGCGGCCTTGGTTTCTCTCGACCATGCACGTATTTCCAGTAAAATTGAATTCTCCTTAGAAAAAATCGATTTTACGGGAAATTGGTGGGGTCGGGGAAAAATAAATGGTCCATATCGGACTTTGCGCTAGAATGCAATTATGGAAGTTATATATTAGAAATCCAGCATTTCTGTAGAATTTCATGATATTTTTTCTTTGCAAACCTGATCGCAGTTCGCCGTAATCATGTCAGAGTTTACCAGTGCAAAAAACTGCAAAAGCACAACTTGAAAAACGCTGACTGCGCGAGTTTGAATGATTGCGCTAAACATGTGAGGCCGACAGGAGACGCATGTTAGCGCCTGCAAGATAGCAAAGATACTTCACACATTGCGCGAAAACCACTGTGCCGCGGAAGCGCTACTCATGGACGTCGGTAATTCAAGCCTGGGAGAAAGCTAAGATTTTCCTTCATTTCTGCATAATTTTACATGACTACCACGATATTCGAATAGCTGCGCACTAGGTATTCTCCTTGACCAGGGTGATTCATAAAAATTATTTTGTAAATTTCCAGGAGCATTAAAAAATATGCGATCCGGCGATTTGGTAAAATCACAGAGTTGTAGTGATTTTCATCTCAGTATCTTGGCAAATACTCGCTTTCCCAGCGTTATTCTTCATAAACGAGAAATTATGCGTTTATCATCTCAATATCGCAATAAATACGTGTATTTTTCCAGCGGTTTTTTAAAAATATAAAAATTTACGCGTATTTTTCCTCAATATCGCGGCAGATATACATTGGAGCTCCAATAGTTGCTTACTTGATTTCCACATTGAACGACGTGAGCGTAACACTTGCATTTATCAACGGCCATAGTTAGAGACAAGCGAAAAGCTACCTATATCAATATTGCGAATTCTTCCGATGGTTTTGTAGAAATAAGAAAAGCTCGCTCCACCAAGAGCTAAGATTGTATATATAATTTCAAAAAAATAAAGTTTTTTCTTGATGATAGCATATATTTGATGTTAATTACTTTCCCCTAGGAAATTTGTTTTAGAAATTTCGCTGAAAATTAAAGTCCTAGGGATACATTTGATTGAACATGACCATTTCTCAGCTGTATTTAAATCCTAAAATCACCCTACTATTCATCTGAGAAACTTGTCCACATAAAACTACTTATTATTAAAGAATCATTTTTTATTTAAGAGATCTGCGGAGAACTTTATTCATTAAAAATTTGAGTGTTGCGCAACTTAATCTCAATACTTTAAATTGTTTATGTGTTGCGTTTAATGAATAAAAATAAGAATTTGTCACGGGAAAGGTCGCAAAATAACTTATAAATCGCATAAATATAACCTAAAAAGTAATGACATATGCAACCATTTTGTCAATTTGCTGTCTTAAAAACGAGGAACAAAACTTGAGTGATAACACTTAGATTCACCAAGCTCTTCAATGTGTGATATTTTTGTTGATACTGAATACAAAACCTTTCCATTTCAAGTAGTTCAGTCAGTTTTTATGTATCATCTTTAAGTATCAATGGATCAATTGCACTAGTCACAGAAGCAAATTTTTATGAAATAACAAAAATTAATAATTAATTATTCAGTAATATGGACGCAATGTTCAATATTAACAGAGACATCGTCCATTGAAAAACACAATGTACGCCATCATCAACACTTTGACAGCAGTAGTGCATACCATGATTTCTTCCATCTCCGTTTCATCCATGTTTCATGTCACACAAACAGTGCAAGCAAATGTAGATATTGCTGATTGACAAAACCAAGGTGGGAGAAACCATGATATGCACTACTGCGATGGATGCTGTCATCCGTTGTACTTTTCAATGAGCAATATTTCCATTAATATTGGACACAAAAACTTGGTGTTTGAACAAATCTGATTATTTTTTCTAAACTGCATCAAAACACGATTCTGTGACTAGTGCAACTAGCCTATTAATAAAAATATAATGCATGCGACTGACCCGTTGGGCATCAGTTGCTAGGAGCCGGACATGGAAAATAAAGAACATCTGGAGAGTTTATACAATCGTAGAAATATAATGTTTCTTATAAAACTGAGCTTTTAAAACAATAGTTACATGTACATATATACATAAGAAATAAAATATATACGAATACAGTAAAATCTGACTATAATTATCCTTCGTACGCAGCAGACTTTCATAACAAGTAGAAAAAATAAATGAGTTTTTTATCAGCTCATCTTCTATGAAGTATAAAAGTGAAAAAAGAAAAAACCACAAGAGGTTGAATTCAGGGACTGGATATGAGAAATAGGCGCGGAGATGAAAATGATAAATCTTTGATACTGAGTGTATATTCAACTGTCGATCATGAGTCTGCTCATATCACAAAGCCAAACAAGCATCAATCTCTCTCTTACATCAATAGGATACATTGATGACTAATTGACAAAGCTCCTTTTCCTCTGAATATTTACTTGTGTGAGTACTTAATGTTATTTCGCTTAGAAAAATGACATAAGAAATTGATGATAAGCAGTAAATCATCATCTACATTGCTGAAACGCTATAACTTTTTCTTGGATTTGGTGCTGAGAACAAACCGAGTCTCAAGATTACAATATGCTTGCCTAATTGTACCGCAAAGGCAATATTCCCTCCTCTATTCAAGTTTTCTATCGGACTAAATATGATTATTCCAACTCACTTCTTCGGAGGAGAAAAATAATGGACAGCACTACAATAATTCAGCAAAGAGGGGTAGTTCTTATTAAATCCAAATCTTTGACAGATTCATAAGTCTTCATCTATGTGCGTATAAAAGGCATTATCATTGGTTGCGCCTCTATACTAGAGTAATTTCTTGACGCAGGAAACGATACATACATGAGGACACAAATTTTACTTTGACTTTCAAAGTGTAAAGATTAGACTGAATTTACAAGTTTGTTTGTTTGCTTCCTTTTTTTCTTTTTCACTGAGTGCTGAAAAATTCTTGACTAGTTGGAGAAAATCCATACTATCAGGTTTTTATAAATTTCAAATTATTTTAATTTTTTTGTCCTCAGATAAACCAGGCTCTACAGAGAATATGAAACCTTGACACCGCAAAATTGGAACAGATACTTTGATAGTAAATTCAACTCTTCCAAAGATTGATGCTGTAAAATGAATCTTCTCGACACTTTTTGCGACTAGACTCACACATTACGTTATAACTGAGAGTCCCCTCTGATTGTGCTGGATAAGACGTCAAAGAAGATGAGTAAAAAGAGGGACCAATCTACATGGTGCGATGCAATTTCCGTCAACAAAGTCTCAGACGACACTACAGCTTGGTTATACACAGTAAATTCCTTGAAAAATTGGTAGAATGGTGATGGTTTCTACATCTCATGGTTTTTTTTATTTATACTTTATAAATAATTAGTTTTGCTTTGGCTGAAAAATTTGAGAGAGAAATTTAAAAATAAACTTTGGCAAAAATGATTTGTTTTCTTTTCTTCGGGTAAAACATTAGCCCTTGATGATGTCAAAGTAAATTCAAAGGTTAGTAGTGGCATGAGTGATTTTAAAGCACATAATTGTCCACAAAATTATGATGAAATGGTTAAGCAATTTCATAATTAAATCATTTGAAAGTATTGGGTGAGCAGAATTTGAATTATGTTTTCAACTGTTTATAGTTCATGGTATTCCAAAAAAAAAACATGCATTAGAGAGCGCAAGAAAATAAACTGATTCAAAATGCAGTTTCAGCTGCTGCTTTCCACTTCTTTCCAGCTACATCTTGACAATTGCAGTTACCATGATGAAAGAGAAGACAACCAATGGCAAATCTTTGGGTTTGTGATTATGCGGGGATATGGATTCCATAAAAAATGAAATCAACGATCTCGTCTTGATCCCTTCATAGCAAATAAGCTTTCAATTGCACAACAAAAACGCTGAAACGCTGTTTTATCTTGTGCTCCTTAAGTTTTCCAGTTTCCACAATTTTTGCTTCCATTCATTTCCTCATTCGGTATGAACACACAGTTCAAACTAGTTTTTACATCTTGAGCTTGTTTTGTCTTGATTGCAGATAAATTTAAAGGGATCCACTGAGTGTAAATTCATTATGGACCACTGTGATATGGAAGACACCTATTCATACAGTCATGTATATCCAAAATATCTGGCTCATTGTTAAATTATAAAAAAAAAAACTAAAGCAAAGATGGGTGTAAGCACTTGCTTAAGGCATTAAAATTAAAGTAAGTGCCTATGCAGTAAAAACTTAAATGCTCATCATACCGTGTAATTCAGTATCCACTGATTCAGTAATTACTACATAACTCAGTATCAATGATTCACAGAAATATATTATGTCTGATAAACCTATATTAAAAGGAACTTATCTTGATCATTAATTTTACAAATTTTTCTTTTTTTTTTTTTCTATACATATATAAAATGGGTCTGGAAATTCCATACATCCACACAGGATGATTGAACATATAAAAACCTTAGAAAAAAAGAAAAAAAATGTGACTTAGTGGAATAATCTGATTAAAAAAAGAACTCTTTTAAATGCCAGATTAAGTAGGGAAACTGACTGGCACTACAAAACCATTTTTCTTAAAAAAGATAAAATACATTTTTTTCTTATAAAACAGAGCATTCATAGCACTATCAATCTAAACATTCCGGAGCTTACATGACAAAATTAACATTCTCTTAATGAGGAGGCTTTAATGTTGTGGCTAGAGCAATGAGAAACATGCCTAAAATGAAATGGTTTAGGGGTTTAAACGTTTTGACTTAAGGAAAAAATTAAAATAAAACAATAGTATGAAAAGCTTTGAATCAAACTGAGAACTTATTGCAAGGAAATAGAAATTGTATCCTTTTTCTCCAGGCAATTGTAATGAATTGTTTGCATTCTTTGTGACATGAATCTGACAGGAAACTTTCTTCCTTCTTAGAAAAATTCAATAAATTTGAATTCATAGTGTACATCCCGAGTTTCCTGACTTCTATTTTTGAACAAAAACATAGGAGTTTGTGATACATACTTTCAACCTTGCCAGTTAAATATAAAGTTGGTGTGAAAACTAGAAAAAATGTAAAAATGGGATTGCTTGAGAGATTGATGCTTAGCAATTGGAGCACCAAACAATAAATTCCATCAAGTATTCTGCGAGATGGGAGCATTTTCAAAAAAAAATCTTTGAATCTAACCAAACATGGCACTTAACTGGCAACACACACACAAACAAAAAAAAAATGACTAAGTACATTTGAAACAATGTAAAAAAAATTAACAAATGATTCTAACTCCATTAGCCAAGAATACCATTTCAGCTGATTAAAAATAGGTTATGCTCTAGAGTGCGCCTACAGAGGATGCTCCTGAATATGATCTAAGATGCAACGACGACCCACTTTTCAAGAATTACAGAATGATGGTAAAGTAATTCTTCCTGAGCTTAAGTGCTATCAGAGTTGCTTAAACAAGAGAGAAAGAAAACCTAATTCTGTCCTCTATTCATAAAACACATTAGAATGACTGCAGAATTTTCGAAATAATTCGATGGCTCTTTCAGATTTTTTCAAGACTATCTCCTGAGTATTGAGCCAATTCCATTCAGTCAGTCAAGACAATAAATTAGCATTGAACAAACAATGATAGCTTCACGTGAATGTTTGACACTTGCTGAAAGTAGCGACAAGGCAATGGACCTGAACCACTCAACTCTCTCTTTCCTTTTGAGTGTGTTACATAGTGCTAGAACAATTACCAACTCATGAGGGCTTCATGATTCTAAAGATGCACCAACTGCGGAGTAACCGACAGCTTGCAAATAAATGCTCTAGAATATACTCTTTTTAAGTAGTCTGGGTTAAATAAAGAATAAGTTAGGACCTTGTACATAAGAATTCAAGATGTCCAAAGTTCTTCCGCTGATTATACAAACAACCAATTTCAACCATCTTCCATCTACTACAAAGAAATTTAATTACAACAGATTTGACTGATTCAAGACAATTTTTCCAGCAAACAAAAATGCAGTTTTTGAAATAAATAGCGAGGAGTCTTTAAGATAGGTACTGAAAAACGCAAAAAATTAGGGAAAGAAACTTCAAACTTGATAATAATAGTTTGACTTGTTTTCGATCTAAAAGAAGAGAAAGCAAACAAAAAGAAAACAAAACAAAGGTAAAAATTTAAAATAAAAAAACGTACGTTAAAAAAAATTCATTTACCGACTAACCTTGCAATTTTCCTTCTTCAATGTTGATAAACAAGTGAACAAGATTTCATAAAGTTGATAGAAAATTCTGAAAAAGAGAGAACAAAAAGAGATTGAATCAGAAAGTCTCCAGATTGTTATCTAGGATACCAGCGAACAACCTGCACTGATTTTTCTTTTCTGTCACCTAAAATTATGGAGACGGCTACCCGCAGGAATATTTTTACTGCATTTTGTCAAAGCAAGTTTTTTCTGTCACAAGCAAAAATCTAGGTGAGGGTTATGCTTAGGCACTTATGGTAAATTAATTTATGATCAAGCACAAGGAAAAATAACTTTAAATTGCATGCGAGGTTGAGGGAATGGGAGATACAAGAAAATACGCACAAATAATTCTGCTTGTCTGCTATCAGCTTCATCAAAAAATTAAGTAAATTTTTTTAATTTCCTTCCAAGAATGATAAAATTTGAACAACTGCTTTTGATCCAATCAATGCTTCATGATCAGGTAAGTCTCTTTGGTGTATTATTTTTCCTTGCACAGTTTACAAGCACTAAGTATCAGAAAAAGAGGGAAATATTTGTTACATCTGAAGTAAATAATAATGTACCAAAAGTATATAGCATGGAAACTTTAAAAAAAAAGTAAACGATAGATACAACTTACCTGAATATTTTTTAGAACATAAATTAAATGCCTACAGAATGTAGCACCTTTTTCTTTTGGGAGGTTCCGGAGGTTCCAAAGCAGCTAGAATGGCTTCATCGAAGACGTTCTTGAGCCCTTTCTGCAAAGTCAATGAATATGAATTTAGTGTCTATCTTAGATAGTAAGTATAACAAATTCAACTTACATACAGTTAGAATCTGTATCCGAGAGATATTTAAAAACCCTCTTTTCTTTAAAAGATGAATCTATCTGCTCCTCATGTAGAAATGGTCGCAATTAAGCAAAAAACATATCATTATCACTTCAATTCAAGTCAGAACTACACTCGTATTATGTTATGTTCCTTGAAGTAGCGTTTTCCCAAAATACTAGTTCCCAAAAAATAGTTTGCTTTTTGGGTCCCAGTTGATTGCCCACAGGAGGTCATATGAAATGTTTGCATTATGTTTTTCCCAAAACAGTCAAATTTCTTTGTCCCTCGCAAAGACAAAATGTATTATTGAGTAATTTGCGTGTGGAGTTGTTAAATAAGGGAAGTGACTATCATTGGAAAGAAAGCTTTCTTCATAGAAATCATCTTTGGTGGATGTTTGCAAATTGATCACTGGTACATTCTGTTTAGCCATAGGGTACATAGAGTTGTAATGTAGGCGGAAGAGCTAGCGCCACTTTTAAGCATTTTCCAAGTCCCGAATTCCGAGACTCCTGTGTCATGCTGGGTCACTTTATCGATACATAATGGATTGTTTTTGATACAAGGAGACCTGCCCATCAAATGTAAACAAAGAAGATAGGAATCACTACGTATTCCACAACGCCATTTTGAATCGAATATGTATCGAAAAAGTGACTGAAGCTCAGCGCATACCGGACCCGGAACTCCTCGACCAGAACATGGCGCCAGCTTTCTCAGCTACATTACGACTCTCTGTACTCTATGTGTTTAGCGCTCGAAAAGGCAAGATGCACACATTAGAACAAAGCTTTGCTGTGGCTGTAGGACAATCTTTTTCTAATTTAGAGAGAAAGCTTTAGATATACCTGAGTTAAAGCTGAGCATTCAACATATTTGACAGCCTTCAATTCTTTCGCAAGTTTTTCTCCTTGTTCAACTGATATTGGTTTCTGTTTGTTCTTTGCCAACTTTTCGATGGTTCCTGCATCTTCTCTTAAATCAATCTGAGTTCCTACTAGTAAAAATGGTGTCTTCTGACAATGATGTGCTATTTCTGGCACCCACTGCAACATTAAATCAAATTACATTGAACATAAACAAAAAAAATTCCGGAGGATTGAGAGCAAAAAATGTTTAATTCAACTTCGGCTGTTCATTGCTTTTATGGAAAAATTGTGTAGCCTTCATTTATAGAAGCTAACTTACAGGAGAGAAACATAAACTTCAAACAGGTGAAAATACATTCACTGTCTAGTGCTTGAAGAAGAAGCAAAATCCAATCTGAGAGGCCATGAAGTAGCCCTAAAATTATACTTGTAACAGAGGTACAGGTTAATTTCTTTATTTTCAAATTCTCTGACTTTTCCCTGAATCCAAAATTTTAGGAGTCCCCGGCACTTGAATAAAACTTCCACTTTGATTTATTTCTTTAAAAATACACTCACTTCTGCTAAACACTGAACGCAATAAATTCCAAGACTTTTTGTATGAATCCCCTGACTTTGCCCTGTCGCCACAAATCCCTTGACTTTTCCCTGTTGCTGAAAATCCCCTGACTTTCCCGGTTTTCCATTCCGCCAGCCCCCCTACGAAAGAGAGGGACCAAAATTAGGGAACCTTGTAAGCATTACTACTATCATCAAAATACCAAAATCAACTGAAAATAAAGTCTAAAATCAGCAAATGAACCAGAAAAGAGGCTTCCTAAAACATGCTGGATAACAAAGTTGGTGTTGTCGTTGGTGTTGTTGCTAGTGTTGAATGCTGAAGCACCCTGTGGTTCCCCTATCTAAGGGGTTAGGGAGAGTTAGGGTAGTTCTGAACTAGATTATTGGGGTTCCTGAGGTCATCTCTAAAATCAAGTTTTAAAAAGATCTCAGTTTTTTACAATTTGGTGTTTTGGCGTCACTGCCTTTCCAACCTACCTAATGGAAAAACCAGCGATTGGCTCCATTTGTTCAAAATAACTCAACAAAAAGAGAAAAAGGCCATCTCTTTCGGAAATTGCCTGAGATTTGCCTCACATTTGTTGCGATGGCAAGATCAGGCATTTAAAGCACTCCTGCTAAATTCTTCAAGGTCTAGCAGCTGCAAGGATAAAAAATCAAGCCTTTTTCATGGCTGCACAAACCATTTCCTTAATTTGTTAAAGAAAATTCATCAGTTGACTGCAAAATGGATAGAGAGGGATCTGTGAGTGAATGTATTTTTCAGCTCTTGGTTTCAATGTTTCTTCAAAACTTCAATCTTACCTTTTCTTTGACATTTTCAAAAGATGATGGGGAGACAACTGAGAAACACACCAAGAAAACATCTGTTTGTGGATAACTCAAGGGCCTCAATCTATCATAATCTTCTTGACCTATGAACGACAAAAAAAAAATTGTTAAATTTTTAAACAGCATTGTACTGGGATTTTATTTCGAACATGCAGAATAGAAAATGCCGCCTAAATTTTGGATGGACATTCAATGTGAAAGATGCAACTTCTTGCACGACCTCCTACTTAGTAGGCAGGAGTGGCATTTACGTGTTGTAGAGCAACCAGGCACTCAATGAACGTGACTTATGTACACGTCAGTCCACATGAAGAGCGCCCTTGCACTTTCCACAAGAGCAATTTTTGTCAAAAAATCTGACCGACAACTCTTTCATGCCCTGAAGAAAAGGCTGCCAGCAGTATAATTTTTTTTTATGCCAACAGAGGTAGGGTGGTTGCATTGTAAGCTAATTTGTACTTGGAACAACCCAGAATGAAATCTCAAGTAACTTTTTCTTGGAACTAAGTTTCTAGGAAGTGGAAGTTTCGCACAGTCATAAGTACAGTTTGTTGCGATATTATTAAGCATTTCTTATTAAGGATTGTTCTTTGAATCTACTTTAACATCTGGCATTTAGGACACAATTTTGAGCTCTTGGGGACTGGGCTCCTTTTTTCTGTTGACATTTAAAGATATGCAAAGCAGAAAATACGGACTCTTACACTCATGAATGCTTTCATCATCATGACACGGCACAAGATAAAGCCAAGTTACTCATTTTAATGAAACTAAATTACTAGGCTGAGCGTAACACACAGGAAAATAGATTAAGTTTCTCTGATGTTAAACTGAACTAAAAGGTTCAGGACTAAAAAAAGCAATTTTTTGAGAGTTGACCTTTCCCAATGCTTTGATATAGGCTCACAGATTTTTTTGTAATTCATAATTTAGATTGATCCTGCTTGGAGTCGAAAATGTCTGTACTTTTGGGTGAAACACAAACTATACCTATTCCGATACCATTCCTATTCAGACTCATCATTGAGAAAATAGATTAACTTAAAATGTATACCAACAAACACTTACCAGCTGTATCAAATAATCCTAAAGTGTACGGCTCTCCACCGATCATAACTGTTACCGCATAGTTGTCAAAAACTGTTGGCACATACTCCGAGGGAAATTTGTTGGTTGTATATGAAATAAGTAGGCACGTTTTACCAACAGCACCATCTCCGACAACAACACACTTGATTGTTTGCATTGTCTTTCAGTTTGAACCTGCAATCAGGGATGACATTAATGCAGCCAAATAAATGTTGGTACGTGGGAAACACAGTGAGATGTTTTAAAGAGGGGTAACTTGCAGCATACATTGATAGTCATGAATTGTGCATGCTGTTGAAATCATTACGAAGTGACAATACACTTCCACTGCACAGGAACATCTCCACTGCAGAAAAGCATCTGGAAATATTCAAGGGGAAAAAAAACCCTTCCCTTCATCGCATGATCATACTTTCCGCAACATTCTTAAGGGATGCTATTCAGAAGGGAAGACAAGAAAATCTATGCTAAAGCAAATGTCAGTTATGGTACCATTTAACAAAATTCAATACAAAATCTGTAATATCGCAAAACGAAATGGGCGGTTTCATATCCACTATTCCTGGGTGTCTAGACTGAAATGCCCACTCCTAATTTAAGAATTTCAAATTATTAAAAGATATGAGATTCATAGTCAAAATAGACTTGCTTGACACCCATTGAACACTGCTGTTTACTAAACAAAACTCGGCAGACTTCACAAACTTTGAGGAATATGGAGTAAAGCCTCGAGTTTTCAGATCTAAACCCGCAAGTCATGGGGTAATTCAGGCGGAGTTGAGCAATCCTGCTTGCTAGGCATGGAGGATTTCATGCTACAACATGGTCTTACTATGTTTACTTCGACAGCACACCCCTGAATCATCATCAGAAAGTTCAAGAGTTAACCTTTCAGCAAATTGAGACGGGACTCAGGATGTGAGGTTAGACGTACGCTTCAAACGAGGCTCTAGGTTTGTGGCATGCGACATGATGATCTAAAAGATTAAAAGGAACAACTTGGAGGTGATTCATAGCGTCAATTTTAACTACTGGATGGCAGCTTCACTACTTGACTGACTATGGCTATTGAAGCTCAAAATAATGGAGGGGGAAGTTAACCCCATTGCTTCAAAACTGAAAGTTTCTCTTTGCTTCAAAGGTATATGCCGTACACAATGATGGAAATTGTAATTTCAGCTAAAGGCATAACTTCGAATGATACTGACACTAGGAATAAATGGACGTGAGAAAGAACAAAATTAGTGAATCCTGAGAAGAATTCGCTAAGATACAGGCAAATAAGTAAACAAACAAAAAGGCACACTTAGGCTGCTGATTATCTGCTTCAGCAGTCATGACATAGGTATTCCCTACAGATTCTGAATGACTGGTGAGAGCCGTTATTCAAGGGTGTCATGTAAAATTATATTCTTGAAAATTCACAGAAATGCCTGCGAGAGTTAAAATAGTAAATTTGAATTTATGGTGGCCATTTCCTCGAAATGGGTGGCCACCGCCGTCACCTGCATCGTACAAGAGAAATTTCGCGGTGGAAAAGAGGAACTGAAACTTGATCACTGTTCTACTTACGGCTGAAATATTAAAAATGCAAAATATAATCACTTGGATTAAATAGAGGCATTAATAATCAAACAAACACACAACAAATAATAGCGAGCGGGCGTTGACAAGAAACAGAAATGACAACACGCTCCGTTTCGTTGGGCATCGAGCACTCTCTGTTGATTGATATGCGAACTAAAGAGCGAAACCGGCAAACTTCAGCGCGAATTTCGAAATTTAGGCGCGTACTTTAAATTTGCGGCTGGGCAAAAACCGTGCGATCTTCTAATACACGCCAACACGCCGAATTAGCATGATGCAGGATGCTAATATCATTTTGTTTATTTTTGATCTAGTTGGTTAGGATAATACTGAGTCATGTATACACTTTTAATACGTTAATGCCTTAGGGGACTACTTAAAACACAGTCATGGTTCGAAGGATTGATATTGAACGGTAAAATAATAAGTAAAGTGCTGTGTGATGTTTTCTTTGCCGTATCAGATAACTCTTGTAAACTTTCATAAAATGATTTTGTTGCAGTTATAAGTCGGAAAATATGGTATGAATCTGCGAGATAAAAGCCATTTTATACTGAAATTCAAAGTGGACCGTACAGAAATTTCTTAGAAAGCCCACTCCAATGTTGCTAAATTAGGTGAAATAACGTATTTTTTTCGGCAGACTCGGCGGGCTACGTAGGTCGGCTCTGGCAATGCATTTTCGGCGCAGGATTTAAGTTGGTAAGAGTGGTCGTATATGACCATGAAAAAAATATGTGCATCTGCAGCACACGTCATACTTTTTCTAGGTGACAACAGGAAATATTAGATGCAAAATGGGTTTAATAAATTGATTTAAATCCGAATAACATATATCGTCACCTTCCAGGCAAAGTCACAAGCGCCATGCGACGTTTAAAAATTTCCGCCGCCATCATATTTTTTACAGAGAAATTTTTCAACGAAGCTGTCCGAAAATTACACCGAATTTTCTTTGTGCTGCCGATAAAATTTAGTGAAATTTTCGAACAGATTCAACCAACAATTTCTCAGTAAAAAAATAAAATGGCGGCGGAAATTTTTAAACGTCGCATGGCGCTTGTGATACTTTGCCTGGAAGGTGACGATATGTGATCTCATGCAACTAACTCTGGCAGCGAAAAGGACATGATACACGTATGTCATTCCATGCAACCGATTGTGGCCAATAAAAATAAACGTATGGCTAATATTCACCTATAATTTGATGGATGCTGGCAAAAACAGTGTTCTCCTAATATCTAACCTCTGATACGACTAATATTTTCTTTTTTTTTTTCAATGAAATGTATGTACACATGTTCTTCATGTGACATCTCTTTTTTAGGGTTTTGACCAAAGTTGCATGGAATCACATATATGTAACTTCTCTTTTTATTTATTCATTTGTTTTTTATTTTTTTTATCGAAGTTGCATGGACCTACGCATACGTAACTACCACTTTGGGGGGGGCATGGAGGGGGGGGAGAGCCCTCTCCTGCCCCAAAAAAAAAAAAAAAAAATTGAAATCCTATTTTTTTCAAAGATCTTTCAGACAATTTTATTTATTTCAATATCCGTGATCCAAAATTAATTCATGCAATAGAGTGTTAATTATTTGTTTTGTTTTTGGTGAGAATTGTAATTGGTCCTGGGGCCGAATTTGTTCGGTCCTTCCACCGGACTTAAATATACTTAGGACGGGTCTCGACTGCACTTAAGTCCGGCTTAGCGCTTCTGATTGACCGGTGGTGCGGTTTAAACTCATCGATGGCTGTTGCACTCCGTGTGAAAAAGCCGACAAAATTCAGCCCCTGAAGGCGACGTATTACGCCTTTCAAGTTATCATATGATTTAGGTAATGCTTTTCTAATTCAGTCCAAGAGAAGACTAAATGTCAATTTATCATTTAGGAATTTATCTAGCGAAGTTCCATCGCATCTACTTGTTCACACAAAGCTGTTGGAAAAATTCCAAGAGTTTATCAGGTCGAAGAGTAGGATGTACATGGTATTTCCGGAACTGGCTCACTTGGTAGGATGTATCTTGCTTTTCTGTTTTGTTGAATTAAGTGGGTAACTTTATTTCCCCGACCTCCGTATGTAGCTTGCCTGTTCTTGAAAATATTGCTACTCCAAAGCCAGTATAACTTTTCCAGTCCGATGAAATTTTATTCCAAATCACGCCATGTTTTCTGCCGAACCATGTAGGAATGCTGGGGTATTTTTCTTTGCATTCGTAAAGTGCATTCTCCTGCGATCGTCATCCATCTTCAATTCAAATATATAAGTTGTATCTCCGATGGTCATTACAATATCTGAATGCCCTCTCCTTGTTGAATACTCCCAATACAGGCATGGTCCAAGGCACAGACTTTAAGGTGCAGTGTCCGAGGGTTTCATACAAATAAACCTGAAAAAGAGCTTCAACTTTCCTCCGCTGGTGTGTGACGTTGTATGGAATGCCACTGAGGTGAGCTGTTACCGTGTTAATGAAAGACTGCCATTCATGTTTCGCAAGATGTTGTATCATCTCGTTTCCGCAGGTTTTTACTTGTGTTTGATTCATGCCTGTCAAACAGTAGGTAAGACGTACAGCAAGATGCTCTCGAAGCTCAAGATTGGTAATACGCAGAATGTAGCAAGAAAATCTATTGTCATAGCTGCTGATGCTCAGGTAGCCACTGTGAAAAAGAAAAACCACTGGTGCTGTGGAATCGTCGTAGTCGTACTTTCCTGTAAGTTCCTCTTCTTTAGCACAAATTTCCTGTTTTTCCTCCGGTTCATCCGCATCGTCTTTGGTGTCACGGCTTAATGAAATTTCGATGGCCTCATGTGGATATTGCTTCAGTTTCATGTCAAAAACTGACTAGATCTATCCGTGCCACTATGTGATTTGATCGAGGCACCATCTGATCTCAAGTACTCAATTACTGAGGTCGGACTATAAAGGGGCTCGTTTTTAACGGTAAATCTAAAACCACCGTACCACCTTCTCATCTCGCTAAGTATTTCTATTGAGGTATTTCCTTTTCTGTTGGCCACATGCTCTATAAATCTACCAAAATACTGCGTTAATTCTGTTTCGTTGAACCCTACGATCCCAGCATAATCAGGGTTCATTGTTATATCTCTAATGTTATTTGCGCCGGAGAGAAAACAATCCGACAAGGTTAGACTAGTAATCCCAGTAGTAAAACAGAAGCGGATGCTTTTATATAAACCTTTTAGTATCCTATAGAAATCCTGAAGAGTTCCTAAAACTTGGGAGGCTTCACCTTTATTGCTCACATAAATATCTTTGTAAGGCGATTCATACTCGTCTATTAGGATGACAACCCTTCTCCCATACTTTTGACCCAGTTGCTCAATCAATTGGCGAAGAACTGTTCCGACACTCTCCGCTATATCTAGATTAATACCATGGTCCTTTGCTCTCTCTTGCAGTAACACCAAAAGACCATGGTAAAATTGAGGGAATGACTCAGCTTCAATACTAGAAAAGTCTAATCGAACCACTGGGTGTTTTGGCCAACCCCTTCGATATTTCAAGATCCATAAAAAAGATTCAATATGTCGCCTATAAATGTTAGTATCCTCGAATAACCCTGCCTCCCCTTTAAAGTAGGCTTCCAAAGTATCGACGAGTAAAGTTTTTCCAAAGCGCCGGGGTCGTCTTAAGAGCCAATAAATTTGTGTTTCTTTGACCATTTTGTATAAGTAGTCAGTTTTGTCGATGTAGCACTTCTTTTTAATTAATATCTCCAGGCTTGCATCGCCTGCCGCTGGTAATGTTGCACAACGATTCCCAAGTTTCAATGATTGTGGATTGCTTTGTGTTTCCAGATTGCGTGAAAATTGGGGAAAGGAATAAAGTTCAACGAGTGGGAAATCACCTGCGAAATTCCCAAAATGTATCAACAACACAATCACCAACACAGATAATAGATACATTCCCAGTTTCGTTTTTTTCTTAATTCCGAGCACAGAAAACGCGACTGTACGCACGAAATCGCACGATTGCTTATCGAGCACACAACAAAATTGCAGACGCTTAGTAGAGACCGGGCTGACTGCCAGAGTTTATTTTAAGCTACCTATTCACATTTGTTTCATGACAAGAGGCTTAGCACAGGAAAAGTCCGACTTTACATTTAATTCACAAGCGCTTAGTAGACGTTTAGTAGAGACCGGGCTGACTGACAAAGTTTATTTTAAGCTACCTTTTCACATTCGTTTCACGAAAAGAGGCTTAGCACAGGAAAATTCCAACTTTACATTTAATTCACAAGCGCAAGTTAAGTATTTTACCAACGATTTGAATTATCTCACTCTTATCGGGCAGTGATAATTCAGCATTATTCACTGACAGAACTCCAGATGGCTTATAATTCTTTATCAACCATGAGTAATGCGGACAGTCTCTGAAGCGAGAGCTAGACCTCAACTGACTGATGCCACAGAACACATAACAAACTGATGCACTCCCACCGGCCCGTATTTATATGACTTTGCGTATTGGTAGGGAGCCAATCAGAGCGCACCATGCAGCGGAGCAGTACTCAGGCAGAGGGAGGCTACAGCTGGGACTTGACTCCTTTATGAATATCGTGAATACATATCAGCAAGATTATCACAAGTTCATGGGCGTAGCTAGGGGGGTCCTGGGGGGCCTCCCCCCCCCAGAAATCTCGTGGCCCCCCCAGAAAATCGGGATCCTCCATTCCTCCCCCCCCCGCTCTCTTCACCAAGAGAGGTGGTCCCATGCCCCCCCCCCAGAGAAATTTCCTAGCTACGCCCCTACACAAGATTTGACGTTAGTTCCAGGGAGTGAAAAGTTATTGTAGCGAAAATAGTGTATGAGCGATATTAGAGGTTAACGAAGCGGTATCAACATGATTTGATATAATGTTCTGATCATTTCTAAACGTAACATTAAAAAAATTTCAAAATCGAGCCATGTAAAATAGAAAGTTCTCACTTAGAATTGCCCGCTAGCTCTTTCGTTGTTATTTCTCAAGAGGAAGGAGTCCGTTGGCTGAGTATATTTACTGCTCTGCTTTCTGCGTTCTACCAAATTACAGGCTGGTAGTTCGTCGGCTGAATATTTACTATTCATGGCTCTGCTCTCTGTCATCTACAGAGATTTGATAAAATTGATTTTACAACAATTTTTCATTATTCAAATTTAATAAGATAGTAAATTTTTAAGTCAGAATCAACGACTGAAGTAAAATAACCGAAAAAACATAATAGGCGCACACATTTCACACACAGCTACTGTACTTCGATTTTCGAATGAATTGCCAGTGAGGTTTCTAAAAAAGTAGTCGCCATATGTTTTGCAATACTTATAAAATATTGTCAGCTTACATTGCCAGTAATATGAGAAAAATATTTGAATACACTATATTGTGACGAAATATTACCAAAAACATTTTTAATCAATGTTTTCTCGATGTTTTTAATATGCATTGCAACAATTATTGTTAAGCAAATGCAGGGCCGGATTTAGGGGGTGGCCCATGGCGGTAAATTTTTCAATTCTTTTAAATATAGGCATAAAAGAATCGGACTTAGAAAAAAAAAATACAAACGAGAAAAGGCAACAAAATCTCTCATTTCCTGAGAGTATAGTAACTTCTAATTTTGTCGTCTTTCAGTGATACAAGAGACAGCACCTTCAATTAGTCGAGTTAAAGGGGAGAAACCAAACACGCAATTTGGCCTAGAACGGCGCGGCGCAGGGAGCAATGATGACGAGGACTTGAGGTGAAAAAGAGAAGCCCATGGCGCGGCGCGGTCGGCATGTAACACATATTAGCGCCTACAAGACTGCACGAATACTCCACTCATTGCGTCAAACACAGTGCGGTCAGCAGCGGTCGGCGTGACATGCAAAGCGCCTACAAGACTGCATGAATACTTCACGCAAAGCGCCAAACGCAGTGCGGTCAGCCCGAAACGCATAGCGCCTACAAGACTGCATGAATACTTCACGCATTGCGTCAAACACGGTGCGGTCTGCGCGGCGCGGCGGCGGAAGTTAAATTTTTAAACCACATTAATGTTTGTTCTTTCGTAATTTTTTCGTTCATTTATTATAAATGGAGGGCTTTGTCCACATAAAGGTAGGTTTACGGAACTTTACTTTCGCCTAAAGTTCCGTGAACTTTTGTTAGTAGTATATGACAGGGCTTTCGCAAATAATGTGTCCAACACGAGTAAACGCGTCTTGCACCCCTCCAACTGGCACGTTCACTTGATGGTTTTTATTGATGTTTCAAAACGAATAAGAAGCGGGCGGAAAAATTCAGGCGGCTCACGGTGGATCGAGTCAATAGGAGAGGTCGGTCATGGAGCGTTGCGCTTCCAATGTTACGAGGATAACGAATATTCCTGGTCATTTGATCGATTATGTACCACATATCTCATGTAATTTTTCGCGTAGAATTCATTTTTGGTGTTATTTTTGGTGAACAACGTACCTGAAGACCCGTATTTGTGCATTTTGTCGGGAAAACTATACAGGTGCAAAGTTTAGGCGTCTGTGTTTTACTTCGTAGGACGGAGTTTTTAATTTTTAATGATGGAAGAGGATAAATTATGAATAAAATTATGAAAACTTACTAATAAGTGTCACAAATACGCAAAAATACCTCCCCAGTTATGAGCTGCTGCATCAGATAAATCATTCCCTTCACTGCAAAGTTAATTTCGAAACTTTGTCTTATGCATAAAGATCGGTGAGAAAACAAATGAAATACATTTATGAATTCTTTGAAAATATTCAAGATCACTTTTACTTTAAATTCATATTTACATTCAGATGACGGAACAGGGACTTAGAGTAGGAAAAACACTAGATGGCTAGAAAAAAAAAAGAAAAGAAAAAAAAAAGTTAAACATGTAACAGTTATCTGTCATCTGCTTCTCCTTATTCTTCTTCTTCATATTCAGTTCCCCATCACTCTCATCCTCGTCTTCCGCTCTCAAACCGCATCAAACTTAAAAAACAAGCAACGCAAATAACCGCAAAAATTCCAAAATTTCCCGGACTTGTAACGTTAAAACGTACTCGCAGTGTAATTAGTTTCGCACTAACTGCACTTTGTTTACATCGAAATAGGTGAAAAATTAAAAAATATGTACGTATTTGAAAGAAGCATCAGTTATCAGAGTTCACCAGTGACCGGTCGCGCGCGATCGCGGAGGCCAACAGATAAAATGGCATCATAGTCAGGGGCCAGGCAAGTAAAGGGAGGGGGGGGGGTTACTTGCTAAAAGTTTCCTCAAGCTAGCTATCTACGCATACGTCCCAAAAAAGTTTTCTATAAGGAATATAAAGGGATGTCCGAGTGAAAATATGCCCGATTTTTTTTTTAGTTCTCCTATAGATATGTAGTTTAGGAAATAATGAAAATACGAAAAACAGGCCAAAGAGCACGTCTTGATGGTGAGACTTGTTTTTCAGTTTCTGATGAACAGGAATCATACCTACCTGGGTTATTTAGCAGTTACGAGAGTTCACTGATCGCTTGATTTTCGAGATAAAGCTCGCGCGCAATCTCGGATTAATGCAACAGAAAAAGTGATGTCACGGCCAAAGTGGCGCAAAGTGGCACCCAAATTTTGCGGGATCGTATTCTCAGGACTCCTACGAACATGCCTATACACATTTTTCTGGCGGATGGTGGAGGATGGGTAGTTAAAAGTTTACCGTAACTTTTTTTTTCTGCATTTTGATATAAGCACATTAGTGCAAACATAATCATTGAAAAAATGGGCCGAATACAAAAAATTACTAGTGCAATGTGTTCTCCAGACTCTGGAAACTATATGTCAATGAAACTAGCATTAATTTAAACAGAAGCAAGCTAAGTGACGCGGCAGCTCACCGGTCGCTTGATTTTCGAGATAAGGCTCGCGCACAATCTCGGAACGCAACAGAAAAAGTGACGTCACGGCCAAAGTAGCGCAAAGTGGCACCCAAATTTTGCGGGATCGTATTCTCAGGACTCCTACGAACATGCCTATACAAATTTTTCTGGCGGATGGTGGCGGATGGGTAGTTAAAAGTTTACCTAAACTTTTTTTTTCGCTTTTAGAGATGAGCACATTAGCGCAAACATAATCATTGAAAAAATGGGCCGAATACAAAAAATTACTAGTGCAATGTGTTCTCCAGACTCTGAAGAACAAGAATATGTCAATGAAATTAGCATTAATTTAAACAGAAGCAAGTTAAATGGAATAGAAAGACTCGGACGATTTTTCGCTAAAATAAAAAGTTACGCAAAGCCCCTCTTTGATGCCTTCGGTCACAAAAATGAACATGTTTCGTTCCAAATCAATGTCAGATCCTTAAAATATAACTCTTGAGGAACACTTTAGACCCTTAAAAAATGCGATTCGCCCGAATCGCCCATGACCGACCTGTACCATTGACTCGATCCACCGTGCGGCTCATGGGCGGCAAGAAGGTAAATCCGGCCCTGCAGCAATGTTTTGTAAACCTTGTAAAAAATATAACAAGAATATTTCTAGCTCAATATTATTCGGCAATATTTTGAAAATTTGGTGACAACGTTTTTCTAAAAATATAGCCGCGGTAACATTGCCGGCACCCTTCTTGCCGGGCGGGAATATAGTTACTCAAAACGTCCTGATATTAATCCTGATTTATTATTTATATTGTTTATTATTAATTT